TTTTTTTTTTTTTGAGATGGTCTTGCTATGTAGAACAGGCTGGTCTTGAACATACTGTGTAGCTCAGTCTGGCCTGAGACTTGGGGCAGTCCTCCTGCCTCAGCCTCCCAGTGTGCTGGGATCCCAGGCATGCACCATCACACTCATGGGTGTGTACTTTGAAAACTGTTAACTTTGAAGGGGAGGAAAACAAAAAAGAGATCCGAGAATTTATAGGGGCAAAGAGGTTCCCCTGGTTCCCTTGCACCATGGGTAGAATAAAGTCAAAACTTGGAGCCTCAGGGAACCTCAGACAGCATTTATCTGTCTCCCTTGTATAATCAGAAATCAGGAAGGTCTGGGCCCAGTACTCCTGGGCGGTTCTGGAAGGTGGGATAGTGGGATATGTGTTGGTGTGGAATGGCCCTGGCCCCAAACACCTCCAGTCCCTGGCTGATGGATGATGCTGCACAGTCCTGACTCCCCCTGCTCCTCACCAAGCCCATGAGGGTGCAAAGCCCGTCGCCTGCCAGAGGAGCCCTGCACACATTAGGTTATACATCTATCTGTCTGTCTGTCTATCTATCTATCTATCTATCTATCTATCTATCTATCTATCTATCTATCTATCTACTAAATTGCCCAGGCTGCTGCTGGCTTCAAGCTTGCCATCCTCTTGCCTCAGCCTCCTGAGGGGCTGGGATTACAGGTGTGCTCCACTGCAAGCTGCTTTATTTTAATGAGACTTCTTTAAAATGCCAGCCTGCTCAGCAGCGCTAGGAGGCACCCAGGGAAGATCGCTTCCCAGCTGGGAGCTGAGGAGGAAGGAGGCCCCAGCATCCTAGGGCCTTGGGCTCAGGGTCCTCTCCTGAGGCCTCTCAGGGGAGACGGCCTGGTAAAGGAGGTGCCCGAGGCCCCTGGGCACAGGGCTGACTACAGACCCGGGGTGGCCCGGGCTCCCGAGGCTCTGGGAGCAGGGTCCCCCCCACCCGCTTGCTCCCCACCTGGACGCTCTCGGTCGGCTCAGCGCCTGGCTCCTCCCCGCGTCCCCGCAGCCCAGCTGGCCCGGCGGTGCAAATTACACCCTGGCCCAGCAATAAAAGCCACTTTGCCAAACCAGAAGCTCTGGGGCTCTAAGCGCCACAGCGGGTCCCGCCCCCCGCGGAGCCCGGCTGGGAGGTGACAGCGCGAGGGGTCCCTTTAAAGGCCGGGAGTACAAGTGCCCCCGGCCCTCCCCGGCTCCTCCTACGTCAGCGGGAGGCGTGAAAGAGAGAGAGAGCGAGCGAGAGAGAGAGAGAGAGAGAGAGAGAGAGAGAGAGAGAGAGAGGAGCCAGGGAGCCGGAGAGAGGGAGGCCCGGAGCTGCCTGCTCGCGCACCCCCACGCGCGCCCGGACCCGCCCGCCGTCTGCACCCCGGATCCCGGATCGCCCGCCGTCTGCACCCCGGATCCCGGATCCCGCCGCGGGGAGAGGTGAGCTGGCCGGACGGGTGCGGGCGAGGCCGCGAGGCGGAGGGTGCGGGGTCCCCGCCACGCCCGCCGGCCCCCTCGAGTCCCGAGACGGAGCGCGCGTCGGGGCCCGCGTCTGGCGCTTGTGCCCGGCCAGGGCGCCCGGGGACAGCCCGTCCCTGCCAAGCCGCAGCCTCCGGTTGGGACCGGGAAGGACCGCGGTGGCTGGGGGAACCCGAGGGCTCCCGGAGCATCCCTGAAATGTGGGCTGGGACGGGAGGGACGTGGACGATGGAGGAGCGGCTATCTTGTCCAGCCTCTGTTGTCCCCAGTGTGATGGGGACAGTCGTGTTGGTGGATTTGGGGAGGAGGCTCACGCACTCCCCGCCTGGGGCCACCATGCCCGCCGGAGTCCTTGGGGCTCTGACCCGCCCTTGCCAGGGCGCAGCCCCCTAAGGAGGGCAGGGGGGATGAGCTCGGGCCTGCAGGGCCACCCGGTGAGGGGTGCAGGGACTCAGGGCCACCTTGGCTGGCATCAAGCCCCGGAGTGCCCTGACCCTGGCACAAGGAGACCGGGAGGAGATAAGGGGCGAGGCTGGCACCCAGAAGGAGACAGCCGGTTCCTGCGAGGCTGCCAGCCTGCCTCCTGCCTGCTCTTCCCGGGCTGAGGGAGGGGTCGGAGAACAATAATAAATACAAGTGTGAGCTGCTGCGCCCGTGGGCTGGGGGAGGGTAGAAAGAAGTGTGCCCGGCAGGGGGTGGGCAACCTCTCCCGCGCCTGGCACCCTGCCGCCCGGATGCCACCCAGCAGGAGCCCCTCCCCGGGAAAGAGGGCTCGCAGGCCCCATTCCCAGCCCTAGTCCACCCCAGAGGCCTCCGGGCGTCCAGTTGTGAGGCTTCCTTCTCCCAGCCCCTCCCCTCCTATTCTCTTGAAGTCTTTCGCGAAAACATCTGTGTTCTGCCTCTGCCCACCCTGATGTGCTTGCCCGCAGCGCCAGGAAAGAAAAAACAAAAAATCGAAGAGGCGGTCAGGGATGCAGGGGGTGCGGGACAGATCTGGCCCTGAAGGTTTGGCCCTGACCTGGAGAGAGATGCTGGCCAGGGTTCGAGGATGTCGCTGGCCAGGTTTCCCTGGGGACTCCGGAGGACCCCGCAGCGGGCCCAGACGCCAACCGGTCCAGAAGCAGGAGCCCCGGGCGGCACCAGCAGAGGGCGCGCTGAGCTTGGCTGTGGTGGTCGCGTCTACCTGAACAACGTGGCCCCCCGGACCTGGATCCCCGTGGGAATGGGACTTGGGACAAAGCTCACATATTTTGTTTGCTTGTCTTTGGTTATTGATTTTTTATTTTTTTGAGATACTGTCTTGCTGTGTACAGACTGACTGACCTTGAACTCATTACAGAGGCTAGCCTCAAACCTGCAGCACCTCCTGCCTCAGCCTCCCTAGCGCTGGGACCATAGGCAGGGCCACAGGTGTGTGCCACCACGCCCAGCACCGATCAGACTTTTGTTCAGGCTGCACTGGAGCCCCGGGAGGGCAGATCAGAGTGGAGTGGATGCTTCATTTGTCCCAGAACCACTGAAAGGACAATCACAGAGCAGGGGTGGCACAGCAGGGGCTGCTGTGAGTCACAGTGATTTGTGTTCAAACTCAGCCGTTCTCTGTATGACTTTGACTAGCCTGGACCTCCCACAGGGGATGCCAGGTGGGAAAGTGACCTGCCTGGTGTTGGGTCTTCACGCAGAGGCAGAGGCGGATGGGAACGTGGTGCTCCTGGTGTCATGCTGGCCTCTGGACCACAGATGGCAAAGATGCCCAAAGGCCTGAGGCCCAGCTGGCCCCGCATGGCAAGGAGGAGGAGGGGTGGAGGTCCCTGAAGTAACCTGGCTCTACATACTCACACTCCACACGCACACACTTGGGAGGGGAGGGAAGCGGGTTTAATTAGGTCACCTCCAGCTGCAAGCGCAACTTTGGCACTGGTGTATTTTAAAGAGCCTCAGGGAGGCTGGGGGCGGAGAGCTGGGCCAGGCCACCCCATCTGGGGGTCCTGGGGTAGTTCCTTGTCACCCTCTCAGGGCCCACTGTGGACAGAACACCCCGGCCGGCAAGCCCTCCCCTGTCACCCTGATTTGCCAGCCTTTCTATCTGAAGCCACTGCACCCTTCTTCCTGTCTGCTTCCCATGATGGGGGCTTAGGGGTGGGACGTTTTATTGGGGAGTTGTTTTCAAGCTCTGTGGAGCTGGCAAGTGACTCAGCCAAGGTCATTGTCTGAGTCAGCGCAACGCTAGAAATAGAACCCTGAGTTCTGGCTCCCTGTTTTTTCTACCCCTGTGCTTCCTTTTCTATGAGCTGCTTGTGGGGAGAGCAGTCCCCTCCTTGCCTCCTGCCCACCCCAACCTCAAACATTTCCAGGGTGCAAAAGGGGCACTTCCAACCAGCTCTATGACCTCAGAAAGCCTTTTCACCTGCATGTGCCTCAGTTTATTCTTCTGTAGAATGGGTACACTAATGCCAATCATTGCCTAGGAACTTTTTTTTTTTTTTTTTTTTTTTTTGAGACAGGGTCTTGCTCTGTAGCTCAGGCTAGTATTGAACTCACCATGTAGCCCAGGTTGCCTCAAAGTCCTGAAGATCTTTCTGCCTCAGCCTCCCAAATGCAGAGATCTCAGGCATGAGCCACCATGCTGGGAATAAATCTTCTTTTATTGACACATAAGACACAGGTTGGAAGACGTCACCTTGGGGTGGGCCCTGTGTGTGTTTCTGACAACCCCAGAGAAAAGCTGGGCAGAGGCATGGGGAAAAGAGATGACTTCCACAGCTGAGATGAGGGGAGCCCAGAGAGGGGCACAGCGCCCAGAAGTGGAGCTGCTTTGCCTTCTATCGCCTGCCCAGTGGGAGAAGGTTTCTCGTGCTCACGAACAGGGCATGACAGCATTGTGCTCCATTCTTTTTTTTTTTTTTTTGCAGAACCAAGGATTGAACTCAGGCCCTTGCACTTGCCAGGGAAGTGCTTATTCCACTGAGCCATCTCCCCAGCCCCTGGGCCCCATTCTTTTAGGGGTGCTGATTACTGGGGCAAAGCTCCAGCCAGCTATGGTCACCTGTTTCCAGGGCTGAGTCACTGTCCTGACTGCTGTGGCCCTGGACATTGCGTCAGATCCTGGGCTAGTTCCAAACAGCCCCAATCTTTTTCTTTTCCTTCCTTCCTTTCTTTTTCTTTTCTTTTTTTTTTTTTTTTTTTTTTTTTTTTTTTTTTTTTTAATTTTTTTTTTTTTTTTTTTTTTTTTTTTTTTTTTGAGACAGGGGCTTGCTATTCAGCTCAGGCTGGCCTTGAGCTCTCTTTGTAGCCAGATTGGTCTCAAACTCACAGTGACCCTCCTACCTCAGCCTCCTGGCATGCTGGGATTTCAGGCATATGCCACCGCCACACCTGGCTCCCCTGCTGGCTCTGAGAGGCACTGGCGTGGACAGGAGAAGCCCGGATGAGTACCAAATCCCTGCAGGGCTGATCTTCAGCTGTGAGCTGACACGAGTGGCCTCCAAGCATGCCTGCCTCCCTGCCCTTGGGGGAGCCTGACTTCTAGTTTCTCAGGGAAAGTTCTTTTTGGGAAAACTCTAGATTCATCTTGATTCACCAGGAGCAGAATTGACCTTCCTGGGAAGAGCACTGGGCGATGATGCATCAGACAAAGCTGGCTCCATCCCTTCCCCGCTGTGTGACCTTGAGCCAGTGACTTCACTTCTCTGGACTTCACCCATAAAATAGGAACAAATGCAATTTCAACCTTCGAGGCCATGCTAGAGACTGCAGCACGGAACTTTATCTCTGGTCAGCCTTCCATAGTGCGTGGCGTCCGGAGCCCCTCACGAGAAGCCTCACATCCATTCGCTCTCGCCAGCAGCAACACTCCGCAGAGAGGGTCCATGTCCCCTTCTCCTTGGTCTTCCAGGCCGCTGGGTGTCCTGAAGGCCCCAGACAGGGACAGCCCTACCCAATGTCACACAGGAAGTCACTAGCAACACTGGCATTGCCTCAGTCTCCTCATCTGAAAAATGGTATAATAGGAACAGCAACCAAAAAGAGCTGCTGGGGGAACTGAAGGGAACTGGAGCCAGGCGCGATGCGTGGGCCTGTCATCCCTGCACTCTGGGAGGCTGAGGCAGGAGGATGTCGAGTTACAGCCCAGCCTGGGCAACTTAGCAGTCCACCAAAAACCCTGCCACTAAATAATAATGAAAAAAGGCTGGAGACGTAGCTCAGTGCAAAGGCTTCACTATTCAGGACTGCTAGACATGGTGGTGCATGCCTGTGATCCCAACACTCAGGAGGCTGAGGCAGGAGGATTGCTGCAAGTTCAAGACCAGCCTGGGCTACAAAGTGAGCTCAAGGTCAGCCTGAGCCTCATAGAGAGACCCAGGACTGCAGAAAGGAGAAGCAAGGAAGGGCCACTGTGACCCAGCTAGGGAAGCGCCCAGGGCCAGCCCCGGACTACCCCTGCAGGGTCCTTGCTTCACCTGGCTGGGGGCAGCAGGTGGCCTCTCTCTGTGGGAAGCAGGGCACCCTGCCCTCCTCAGTGTCCCCAGCCTGCCCTTGCTCTAGGCAGTGACCGGGTGCTGGGAGGAGGAGGCGGAGAGGGATGGGAGGGGTGGAGTGCTGCTTGCTTACAAGGGAAACACAGGCCTTGAGGTGGGGCTCCTGAGCCAGGGCTACTCCAGCTCTTAGGCGACAGTGCTCCTGCCCCTGGCCCCACGCTGAGGGCACGTGGGCTGTGCCCTCCAGAGTCGGCCTGAAGGAACGGCAGGCAGGGACAATGGGTCACAGGGTCTTTGCCCTAGAGAAGTCTGGGAGTGGCCCCAGGGTAAGGAGGTCAGTGGACAGCCCCCACCAGCTGGCTCTGGCTTCAGCTTCCCCTCTTGCCATGAAAGGGAGAGGAGCACAGGGCTGGGGGAGAGGGGACCTAGTCTGCCTCCTAAGACTCCCCAACACTGGGCCCACCCCTTTCACTTCAAGTTGTTTTTTTGTTTGTTTGTTTTTTCTTTTTGAGACAGGGTCTTGGGTCTTGCTGCACAGTGCAGGCTGGCCTTGAGCTCATTTTGTAGCTCAGACTGGCCTCAAACTTGAAGCAATCCTCCTGCCTCAGCCTCCTGAGTGCTGGGATTACAGGCATGTGCCGCCATCCCCTTTCTTTCTTTCTTTCTTTCTTTCTTTCTTTCTTTCTTTCTTTCTTTCTTCTTCCTTCCTTCCTTCCTTCCTTCCTTCCTTCCTTCCTTCCTTCCTCTCTCTTTCTTATTGCAACAAGGTCTCTCTGTGTAGCCCGGGCTGCCCTCAAACGCTCTGCAGTCCTCCTGCCTCAGCCTCCTGGGCACTGAGATTACAGGCATTCACCACCTGGGTTTTTATTGTTATTCAGGAGTATTAAGGATTGAACCTAAGGCCTTTGCCCTGTATATCCCTAGCTTTTTATTTATTTAGTTAGGTTTTTGTTTTGAGATAGGGTCTTGCTATGTAGCGTAGGCTGACGTCAGACTCCCAATAATCCCTCCTGCTTCGACCTCCTGAGTGCTGAGATTACAGGCCTGCACCATCATATCTGGCTTTGACTTTTTATTTTGAGACAGGGTCTTAACTAAGTTGCTAAATTGTCCAGGCTGGACTGGCACTCTGGATCCTCCTGCCTCAGCCTCCTGTAAGCATGTGCCCCCACACCAGGCTCTTTCTTTTCAGTGTCAGCTGTGTCCCAATACAACTCGTGCATTGTAGAGCTTAGCTGAGTTTGGCCTACAGGGGGTTATCCAATGTCACCAGTTGCTAATGGAAAGGAACATTTCTGTCACCCTGGAAGAAACTCTTGCCCTCAGCGGCCACTCCCTGTACTCTCCCCCAGACCCGAGTGACCTCGAAGCTACTTAGGCTTTGCCTTGTTTCTTTTCTTTTCTTTCTTTCTTT